AAGAAGGGAAGAACTGGGGACATAGAGTAGCCTACCACCAAAACAACTGCATTTTTATTTGAAAATATATTCTTTTTTCTCCAATTAAAATTTCAACCTATACTCTAAATTATTTGATCATAGGATACAATGCAACTCAATTTCCCAAGGGAAGGTGGGTTGATGCAGACTTTCTGGTCAGGTTATTTCTTCCTATGAAATGATATTGCTCAGATTCTTTAAGAGCCTCTCATGTGTCTCTCTAGGTTCAATTTTCAGCACTAAAACCTCTCAGGCAGTGACTCATTGGACTAGTCACCACTATATCCACCCACTCAACCTCATGCCACAGCCGCTGAATCTGAAGCTGCTGTGTCACATTAGCATGAAAATTGTAGAATCTAGAATTCCTATTTAACTTGTGCCAAGAAACCAAACCTTAACCTTATAGTATAAGGGAAACATTTGAGAGTAATTGTCTGTAAGAAAAACAGCTTGTTTGCTGGGGAACCAGATCCTAAGGTAACTATTACTCACTCACAGTGAGTTAAGCAGAAATCGGAGGATGGACTCACAGACCAGGAGGATGACTGAAGATAGAAAGCCGGAAATGTCTGAAGCAGCTGAGGGGGTGAACAGATTTTGTCTAAAAAGATAAGACAGCTAAATAGAGAGTGAGAAGACATGAGCCAAATTTGCACACACAAATAATGGAAATAATCTCTAAGAATCCAATTTGGGAAGAAGTGAGGGAGATAAGAGTGCTCTGAGTGGCTAGTGATGAGAGAACACTGGGTTTAGCGATGCATGAGAAAGAGACCACTGTTTCCAAGGTGCCGTAGAAGAGCTCACCAGCTGGGATGGAATGTTCTTTTTTTAAGCCAGTTTACTAAGAAAGTTTAGGTTTTTGTAAAGGTCAGATATAAAAGAAGGTTTTTGTTTGCTTTGCTTTTCAGGATATTTTAACGCTTAATCCATGGGACAAGCTGTAAAGTAACAAAAAGAAGTACTTCTCAACAAAAGGCCCTTCAGCAGGTAAGGGGGAGACAACGCTCATTTCTAATGGCAGGTGACTCTGCTCAGTGTTTGATATTAAGTGGAACCTAAATAATTTTAAGGAGATTATTAACATTTTTATATTATTATAGCCAAAGTCTTCAAAATAACAGCTTAATAGCAAGGTGAAAAATGTAGTCAACCATTCACCTTGTTTTTTCAAATTTAAATTATAATTGTTTCCTGATTATATGGCTTGTCTTAGCATAAGTAATAAAATATAACATTTACATGGTTTCATATTTTATTGATGCTATAATCTTAACAATTAAGACCTTAATACTTATTGAATTTCACATGAAAATTCAAAATTTTGTGGTAGAGGATTACTTTTTATAACACAATCCAAGTATTCTGTATCAATGTAAAAACTAAAGATAATGATCAATTCTGAATGTTACTAAGATATACCCTGGCATTTGATGTTAAAAATATCACATTGTTGCCTATTAATGTGTATAATTAGTATATTTTAATCCAAAGTAAAATTATATTTAAAAAATTTAAAGATAATTGTTCAAATTCTGTTTGCCCTAAATATCTCATCTATC